GGCACCATTTGATATCACTTGCCTTTGGGGGGGGTGGGGGTGTCTTTCTTACCCAAGCAGAAGCTAAGCCCTTACTAAACCTTGAGTCACGACATCTCAAAGCAATACTTCTCACTACTTTCTGAGGAAGTGAATAACTAATGTCAAAGCCTATAGCACCTCAGAGAAGTTATTCCACTCCTGGTCCCAGACACAGGTTGCCTGCATGGTCTGGCACTGAGCTAAGAAGATTAACAACGGCACTTTACTAAATGGCATCAGACACACAAGCAATGGGATCTGGGCCTTTGTGTGACGTACTTGGAATGAAAAAGACAATGCTGGCCAAAAGCCAGGATGTAAGGTTCTCATTGTAACAGAGCTAGCAAATAAGAAAGGGCCAGAGGCTTAGAAACGGCTGAGCAGCTGCGCATCGCCCGAAGCCCTCGCTTGGGGACCCTCCCACACTAACGAGTATCATGTACAATGCAGAAAGCATAGGATCTTGTTTGCGTTGAGTGCTCTCTAGACAGAGTAGATACAACCCCTACTCCAGAACGATTACCGTCCAAGCAAACAAGACAAGGGAGAGAAAAGCTTTATTTCCTCTACATCGCAGATAGGGAAGATACGCTTAGATATAGACTTGCCAAAGGTCACCAAGGAAGGTTGCAGAAGAAACAAGGACCATGTCAAGGACGCTTGTCCCTTCCACTGCCCCAACTCAGAGGCATGGTTTTCTTTGCAGAAAGCCATACTGGGTGGGACATTTAATCAAGGTATTCTCAATACAGAATGAAATCTAAGTAAAAAAAACTGTCACAGATCTTTGCCTACTCTGTTCTTAAAACCCTCCAGTGCTGGATATTGATAACCTGTACAGGCCGTCTTTTTGTCTTCAGAGATGCAAAGTTTGCGATTAAACAGCTGCCCCTTTCCCAGCCACACGGGTCCTGTTTTCTAGACTTGTATCATTCTCACGGCTTTCTCCTGAAATCTTTCTCTTTAGCCCAAAACTTTTTAATTGGACACATGCAACTTCAGCATGTCTTGCCAGAGCTAAGTACAAAGATCACTTCATAAAACCTAAATGTGACAGTAATCCTGCCCTGTCCATCTTTACCTGATAACATGCTGCGCTTTTTTCGGTGACCCTTCTGACCTTGGACCATTAGTGGTCTCCAGGTGTAGGAGTTCTTCACTGTGATGCATTAATTTTTCTCTGAGGATTTTAGGAAAAAAACTGCTGTCTGGCACTTCTTTCTCCTTCCCTCCACTCCAGAAAGATGCCCTCTAACAAGGGTATTACTCATAAGTGAGCTGATACTTTGAGTACAGTGTTAATGACTTGAAGCTATGAACATAAATTTATTTCCATTGTGCATTTAAGAGCTTGGAACAAGCCACCAGTATGAAGAGGCCATATGTATCAGTAGAAACAAAACCCTAGGTGGGCTTCATCTCTCTTCCCTCCCCCAAGTCATTTAGGCTCATTTTCCAATTGATCCAGTGAAATAGATTTGCCTCATCCCAAGATAGGCATCTAAAATAGATCTGCTGAATCACCGTCTTTAAGGGTCTTTAGTAACTCAAGCTTTACTTTATTAATTTAGGCTTGAGTCTCTCCCAACATCCTTTGTTACTCAGGGAAGGACCACGCTACAGCCTGACACTCCAGCCTGGGCAGGGACCCCATGGGAGCTCAAGACGTCTCAGCAGCCTTCAGAAACCGGTGTTATAACTACAAGAGCAAGCAGCACAGGTGCCAAGAAAGCTGCGAAGAAGTGGAAGCTGAGCATTTACAAATCGCCTCTCATTTTTACGGTTTGCAAGGTTCTCAAAATTAGTTTGCAGGTTTTTTTACCCCCTCCCCTTGTGAAGTTGTTGGAACAGTGAATAAGGCTACTGAAAAGCCCAGCTCTGCATCTGGTGCTCTCCTGGGGCAATCCGAGCATCATCATCAACATTCCTATGCTCAGGAAACGCGTGAACCCAACAAACAAACTTTCCCTCTCAAAGTTACTGCCCAGGAGGAGGAGGTGGAGAGTCCGTCGTGCAAGAACAGGCACACGGTTCATCTGCTTCCCTGTGGCTGTAGGAATTGCTTTCCTTTGGCTGTAAAATCCCAATCTGAATTCTGCTCCCCTCCTTTCACTTCAGGACACCATTTTTAGATTCACCTCTTCATCATCAGTGACTTGGGGCACTTTAAGGAAAAAAAAATGCAGGTAAAAGCAAAAAAAAAAAAGCAACCTCACCTCACCAGCACAGTCTGCTCCAGGCACTTCATACTTAAACCCCCATTTCCAGTTAGCGGTGCTGTCTACCCCAGTACTTTGTCCCAGCATGCAGACGACATGGTCGATGTATCTGACTCTCCTTGTTGTTTTCTTCGTGCCCAGTTTGCCTGGCAGGCATATCGTAAGAATCGCTTGTTAGCCTATAAAAAGGAGCTCGGTAGCTGGCTTCCACTTTCTGATGATTTCTGCAGGAACTGGTAGTTTGCACGGAAGAAGGAAAACGAACATTTAAAGCACCAACTTGTCACAGGCTGAAGTGCTCTTTGTTTCTGAGCAATACGGGAGTGGCAGGGGATTACGGTAACGGCGAGGGTACTGCCTGCTACATCGGCAGAGCAGGAAAGTTGCTGCTGCTCCTTGACAGCGTGGAGCCGAACAGCGCAGCCGGGGAGGGTGCCCTGGGGGATGCTGGAGCCAAGCCCCTCATCACAAGCCCCATACGGGGCATCAGCGCAACCGGGAGCCGTCAAAATGCTAGTGGGGAAGTAAAGGGAGGAAAGAATGGATTTTCAGGCACAGTCCCATCTCTGCACGAATTGGGGAGCCTGCTGTGTTGTGCTGTGAATCTCCTTTCCAGATGCTCAGAGGAGCTGTGCTGCCTTCTAGAGACTAAAGAGGTGAGTGTGGACTGGGGCAGGCACAAGGGTCTAGGGTATGCTCTTCCCCCAACCATCTCTCTCCACAGGTCGAGCGATATCTGGTTGGTTTTGAGCATGAATATCTCTGTCAGACCTTTCTGCAGCGTCTCCTTGACTTACTGTGAAGTTTGGCTTCCTGTACCTAAAAAAACAAGTTTGACCATTTCTTAATTTTCTAGTCCATCAACGCTGTAACGACCACAGTACAATGGTTAGAGATGCTCGATGCTACCGCCACTTTTCTTTGACGTGCTTAGTAAAATCTGACCTTTTCTTTCTTGGTATTATTCTTCAACTTGTTCCGTCTTGCGGGAAAGAAAATATAAAGATCCAATTTTGTTTCAGTGCACTGAAGGCAAATTCCCACAGCGCAATACCTTTTCATCTCCCCTCCCCCATCCCCCCTGCTTGTGAACTGGGAATTTCAGGGGTTCAGAGTTTTAAACGCCTTTGCCTGCAGGAAAATTCGGGTTTGAGATTCGGCTATGTGACAGCTGTTGCTGCTCGGTGTTTGCGTAAAGGGCGATCCGAGGGACCCAGCTGAAAGACCTCATATTAGGACACTTAGAGTTTTACCTTATCTTACAGGAGTAGTCTTAGTGGTGGTTTTTCACATGTCTGATCAATGTTTTGGATGGGAATACTATATCCACATCTAGGTGCTGTGAAAGGCTTCTCAGCTCACACTTGTAGCTTTCCCCTTCATGTCCCCCGTGTCTCAGTTCCCAGGCTTATCCTCACTTTTCCATCTGATGTACCTTTTCTCCATATTTAGTCAGCTAAGGCTGAGCTTGCCTTCCAGATACTCCGAAACGTTGTGTCCCTCGGTAGGAAACTTGCTCCTTGCAACATCTTCTGCTTGGCAGGAATTGCTTTTCCCTATAGATTTCTAAAATGGGCAGTTAAGCCGGACTAACGAGCAGTTCAGTGGGTAAAGGAGTCACTTAAAGAAATCTTGGACTAAATTCTGGACTTATAAATCTGTTTCACAGTTTGTAGTCCTGAACCGTGTCCCGTAGGCTTCTGTCTCTCCTAGAACTGGTCTCTGCAGGTGAACTGGTAATTAGGATTGATTCCTATCCCGAAAGGAGAACAGACTGCTGAGAACATGGTGAGAAAATTCGGGCAACCAAATCCATATTGGTCTCTTAGTTGTTGTTAAACAATACTGGGCTGAAAAAGGTTGGTTCCACTGGCTGGAGCCAGCCTGAGGAAGGCTCCCTAAAATAGCCTCCTGCTCTATTCTTATATGGGAACCATAGCAGTAAGTCAAACCATTGCTTCTGGGAATCATATTGTTTGTGTCTGTGTCTTCTTCAGGGGGGTGATGATCTGCAAAGAGCACAACAGCGTACGTCGTTGACACGGCAGACTTCACTCTCCCCTTCAGAGCAAGCCAGAAGCTGATGTAAATAAACTTTAATTCACAGTCCAGGAGCTCAAGTGACAACTGCTCCACAGCATGGAGAAGCTTTGATTGACCCTTCAGACCCTGAAGATGGGTAGTGGCAGGTATCTCAACTGACATTGTTGAGCAGACACAGCAGCAGCCTCCACCTTGTCAGGTTTCTGAGCCGGTTGTAAGGCAGAATCAGGACTAACACAAAGTAATTAAAAGCATCAGTGATCTCCTCTTAGGAGAAACCTAAATCTGAGACCCTTTGCAATATTTATGTTACTTAAATACTCCTCCCAAAAAGACAGAAATTATTTTAAGCTGCAGTTCCAATATTTCTCATCATATAATCCTGGAAAATAGGATAAATACCCTCTACTTTGCATAGCTTCACTTCTGCACCCCAAGAAAAATGCAAAAGGAGTTAAATTTGACTTGGAAAAGGTAGCTATTAACAGTGCTGTAGTGGTAAAAACGTAGGGAGAAAAGTAGATTTTCTAATATGTTTCTGGATCCTTCTCATTGTTCCTGGTGCTGCACTTCTAAGACATTCTTAAAAACTCTTTTCCCCAGCAAAGCCAGGCAGATGTTGCCTGTAGGACCTTCCAGAGCTGATCTCATCACTCTTTCTACCTGAGAAGGGAGTGAAGTACAACAGCCTCGCATGAACATTATCAGCCACTTGCCATGGCTTTCCTCCCTGGAAACTCCTCTGACTGCTCCAACTGCACCCACTCTGTGGGGCCTGTGAACATTTCAAAGGCCATTCTACTAGGTGTTATTTTAGGGAGCCTGATAGTTTTTGGGGTTTTGGGTAATATTCTGGTTATCCTCTCTGTAGCCTGCCACAGACATCTTCAGAGTGTTACCCACTATTACATAATTAACCTGGCTGTAGCCGACCTCCTCTTGACTTCCACTGTCCTGCCCTTCTCAGCTACTATGGAGATTTTGGGCTACTGGGCCTTTGGGAGAATCTTCTGCAACATCTGGGCAGCTGTTGATGTCCTTTGCTGCACTGCTTCCATTATGAGCCTCTGTATCATCTCGATAGACAGGTACATCGGGGTGAGTTACCCGCTGAGATACCCAAGTATAGTGACAGAGAAGAGAGGCCTCCTGGCGTTACTGTGCGTTTGGGCGTTGTCTCTGGTGATATCGATTGGACCTCTTTTTGGCTGGAAGGAACCAGCACCGGAAGACGAGACCATCTGTCAAATCACCGAGGAGCCTGGCTACGTGTTATTCTCTGCTCTAGGTTCCTTCTACCTCCCCCTGACTATCATCTTGGTGATGTATTGCCGAGTGTATGTAGTGGCCAAAAGGGAAAACAAAGGCCTGACTTCTGGTCTGAAGACAGAGAGATCTCGTTCCGAAGAAGTGACCCTACGGATCCATCGTAAAAATGCTCCCGAAGTGAGCGGATCGGCATCCAACCCCAAGAGCAAGCATCATTTCTCAGTGCGTCTCCTCAAGTTCTCCAGGGAGAAGAAAGCTGCCAAGACCCTGGGAATAGTTGTGGGGTGCTTCGTTCTGTGCTGGCTTCCATTTTTTGTCGTAATGCCTCTTGGTAAGTGAAACAAAAGTCTCTACCTTTTGCACCACCTTCCCTGGAGGGAGGGCTGTATTTGTGCCTGTGTACAATAATTCTCAGCAGAAAAGCTCTGAGGGAATAATTTTCTACTGGAAAGCTGTCAAAATCAAAACATTCACTATCACAAAGCAGTGAACAGAAAAAATTATAGTCTCAAACGAAACAAACCATCTCTGGTTCAAAGAGAAGCATAAAATTCTAAAAATAATGGGAAGAATTTAGCACTCTTTCCATACAGAAAATAGTCTTTCAGAACTAGGACTGTTATTTCTGACCAACTCTGCCAGAGGAACAATACCACACTGCGCCGGGGAACAATTTTTTTGGGGGGGGGGGGGGTGTGTTTATATCTAAGTTTGCAGCCAGTTCTTCAAGCGATATAAATATGTAAAAGGTCAAGATAAAAATACTTTCAGGGTCAATTTAGCTGTTCACAGACTTGGGGCCAGACCTCCTGGAGTGCTTAGCACCTAATACTTTCCACTATAAGGAAAAAAATGAGCTTCCTACCAGGAAATTCACACTATGAGATACTCTATTCCAAACGAAATGAATGTATTTTTTAATTTATCGTATGACCAGGCAGAAGACAGCAGAGAGGATCCTTCAAACTAATTTTATACTTCTCTGCCTTGCATCTATTGTGGAAACCCACTGAGCCCGCTGCCCAAGCACTGGCTTCAACCATCATGCTGAATATGAATATTTGTAATTTTAAGGAGAGAAAAGTTAGGGATTCGTTCTGCTTTGCTATCACTGAAATATAAAGGAGTAATTAGAATTTTAATTAAACCTTGCTCAGTCACCTTTGATGCAATTTCAGGATTTAAAAGTAGAATATTAATTTCATACCTACATCTGAGAGTGGTGTATGTGGCACACCACACTGAAGTTCGCTCCGCAACAGCTGTATTAAATGTTAGTTTTTGAAACACGGAATCTTAAATCTCCAAGTTGCTTAATTTCAGTAGCTTTTCTTATGGAAAGGGCTTATGCTGCATCGGAAAAATAAAGTAACATTGTGTGGAATTTTTATGTACTAACAGAACAATGAGTACCACTAAGCAAAAGAAAAACCAGCTTTACCTAAGCATGCAAAGAAAGATTTGGCTATTTTCTTTTTAATGTTTGGGTTTTTTTTTTTAAAAAAACTTATGAAAAGCTATTTTTCAGTTAACCTCTACTAGATTTACCAACATTACCAGGTTGCTTTACAAAAACCTATCACTAGTGTTGCCATGTGAAAAACCCAAACCTACAGAATCTTTTCTGTTGGTCAATACTGGGAAGTGCTGGAGTAAGAGATGTGGAGGTTTCATGAGGAGGAGCCCTGAAAGGCCTGGCTCATGCTGTCCAGGATGTCAGCATGTTGGAATGCTCGTTGCCAAGATGTCTGAAACATACCCAAAAAGGGTTTGAGAGAATGCATTAAACACACTTTTCATCTGCAAATGTGGTTGCCCACACAGAGCTGTTGTTAATTAATTTGCTTTGGATTTAAGAAATTTTCCGGCCTCAAGAGTGGCTTTGCATCTTTCTTTGATCCCTTATAAGGAAACTTTCTTGAGTTCGTTTCCCTATCTTTGTGGGGTTACTATGTTCTTTTTAAAGCATATAATAAGTCTTTCAAAACCTATTTGTTTAAAAGACAAAAAACTATTAAACAGACAATTAGTACAAAGTAACACATCTTCAAAAAAACCCAAGGAAGCACATCTTGAGGCAGACTGTCCCACCAAGCGCCGGAGACTCACCCGGAGATGATTGCACATGGCAATCTAAACCTATGCCATGCAGAACGCTTTCTAAAAGACAGTAACCATTTTCAGACCTATTCCGCAGGCAGGTGAAGGCAGGCATCGGGAGGAGAAGTGATCCGGCCAGGATCACGCAGATTAGTGGCAGAGGCTTCTCAGATGTGCAGAGCACTCCGTTGCTGAAACCGTTGGCAGTTGTGGAGTTCACAACACAGCTGGCTGGGCAACAAGAACCTTGTGGTGCAGAAGACCAGCTCTGCAGCTTTGCGGCCATGGGACAGACCTATAAATGATCCCATCAGCCATCGGCTGCTGCAGGTCGCTTCAGCCATTGAAGGAGTCCTTCAAGGGCCCTTCAAAAGCAGGCAGCCCTCAATGAAGGTTGCCCATGAGACAGACATTCTTAAACTATGCTACACAAACCGCTTCAGACAACTGGCAGGTGCTTACTGCTTTATGCAGCAGTTGTTTACAAAATAAGTTTATTTTATTGTCATCTACAGCATCTTCAACATCCCCCTACCCATTAACATCAACTCTACCAGCCAAGAACCACTTTAAAACAAGAAACACCAGGCTTGTTAAGACATACAATAAATGGGCATAGAAACTTTTGGGGTGTAGGTATGGGAAGGGTAAGAGTGATAGAATGGTATGAAGAGGAAGATGAAGGCATGAGAACCATATCAGTAGATGCTGCTGAAAATAACTGGACAAATAGTATGAGTATCCCTGCTGTAATATCTTAATTGAAATTGGTCTGTAAAGTTGCCAGTTGCAATCTGTGTAAGTAATGTCTTTCCTACCTTCTTAGATGGATGGAGTTTCATTCCAGGCAAAGAGTCTGTGCAAAGGCTTTCAGTCCAGTACACCTTCTCACTTGGCTTTGATGTTTGTGGAGTAAGCTAGGGAATGATAATCCTGTTGCATGAGAAGAACTGAGGTTAAGATTTGTTTTTTCTCTGCACGCTGGAGTGCAAACCCACCCTTCACAAAACTTCTGTAAAACAAGAGTGTCAAAACAGCTGATTTGCCCTGGAAGAAGTCAGGTTTTCATTTCTGCATGACTTCCTCTCTCTCTTTCGGGGTGACCCAGCGGATCCACTCCTAGCCTCAAAGCTTTCCAGTAAAAGCTCCTTTGAACTCAACATATCTTCACATACTGTTTAACAAAACCTTCCAAGTCAAAGCTCAAGCATGTCCCAACTAGACCCACAGTCTTTGTACCCCCCTAATTAAATATCCGTTCCTCTGTAGACACATAGTTTTCCTAATGCAATAAAAGGTCCTTTTCCATGATAGTTTGCGGAAGGCTTGGATGGATGCATGAAATGCAGGGTAAGAGGTAGCAATAGGCACCTAAATAGGCGTTTAAACAGAGCCAACAAGAACTGTGAGGTCCCTTGTCTGTGTCCATTAGCCTCTATACAAGACGCCTGATCTTAGTGACCACAAATTCTGTCTGTTCCACAGCAGTGGAGGCTTGGCAAAGGGCTTTTTATTCTGCAGACCTTCCTTTGAATTACTATTACACAAAATAAACTGTAAACCCATTGCTGAAGTAACTTTATTGGGGGAATTCTGCACAGACTCTTCCTATAAATGTCCTTGCCTAAGAGGAATCAAGTCCAACACCTTAGCCCTAATATCAGGTCCTAAAGAAAGACTAATGTCTGTGTACATCTACATCTCTGCAATTGCTTCCCGAACAGAAGCTTTTCAGATATGTCCACCAAACCTTCCTCATGCTACACTAGGCATCCACCTTTCCATAAGGATAAGTATGCGAGGGATATATTCAACAGAAAGAAATGTTTATCTTCTGAATAGATTACTTGCCTCTTTGGGAGCTCTAAATACTTTCACTGACTGATGCTTTTTTACAGGCTGATGTTTGCTCCAAGCAGACTACAAGAGCATCCTACCCTACCCAGGTGGTCTCTTATTCAGCCCTTCAGAGAAGGTAGCTGGAAAGGATGTGTCCTTGTCCATCTTAGGGCTATTGCTCTCACATATCATCTTCTACATGTGTTGCATTATTTTCTTTACCTCTTATTTCTCTTCTGCAACACTTAATCACCATATTCCCAACTGCTAGCCACTTATGAATCACTTGAGCACCCCCATTTAACATCCCCTCATGTTAATTTGCACAGCAAGAATAGCTTTAAAAGCATTTTAGTGCTGACCTTCACACGTTGGTTACCCCCTGCTTGGCTCCTTTCTCAAAACGTAACTGCACTAAAGCACTCCATTCAGATAGCTAGGAAGAGCACAAGCCAGGCGTCATGAACAGGGGATTACGCCCCATGCGCTCCTTTACATGGACAAGAACACACTGCTTTACTGAAGGGTATTAAGATCTATGATCAAGCTAGGAGGGCTCCAGGTGACAAAGCTGCATTTTTGTTTTGTACATTAGTCAAAACCTTCTCAACACCAAGCTTTTTTTTCCCAAGCAAGCTATAACGCGAAGCCCTGCTTCTCTTCCCAAAGTTCTTTGAAATGTTGTTTGACGTGTTGCCAAAGTTCTCTAAGATTATGGAGCAAAAAGATGCCCTAAAGCAAACAATATTGCTTCTCAAATTGGAGCAACCCTGTTCTCTGAGGCACCAGCAAATAAGGACTACTTGAAGCTGAACTAGAAACCTGAGAACAGGCTCCTAGAGGAACTTGAGTATCAAGGGGCAGCAAGAGCAGGGCTGCCCCAGAAAGGAGGGCAGCTCAAGAACAGAGGGTGACAACAGCACGCGCAGGTAGCCAGGCCCTCCCCAAAAGCGTGCACTCACTGTACCTGAGCAGAAACAGGCAGAGGTGGCATCTACAACTGGTTCAGCTGGCAGTCCAGTACTCACCAGACAAACACAAAACAACAAAACAGAGCCAGGGAAGAACAAGCCTGAGCTCACCTACAGCACTCAAAGAAGGTCAAGGAGAAGAGCCTGACCTTATATGCAGCTCCCAGGCCAATGGGCAGAGAGTCTGTGGATAGAGGCCACAGATGAGGCTCATCTGGGCAATTAGGGTTTGCTGGGCCCTGGCACTCTTCAATAACATCCTGACACACAGCGTGTTTTTTCCATTTCTGTTTTTTGTTTTCCTCTTGCGATTGCTAGAAAGGGATATAGACAGATATAGAAAGAAGTACTCAGAGCTAGAAGAGTCTGGAAATTTAGTACGTGCCCGTAGTGATGTAACCTCATCCTCAACATCACCTTG